AAAGCATTGCCCAAAAAAATGGATCTTTTTGGTAAAATTTTGTATATGTGCACAACATATTTGTATATGTTACTTATCAATTGAGTCATCTATTTTTCAAACTAATGTTCTATGGCAATATTTTGATAAAACCAACCTCGTCGAAAAGTGATTCATCGAATTCAATTTCGTTGCCTGCTGCTTGCATAAGTGCTACATCAGACAAGTTTAATGTTGAATCACGAAGGAACAACTGTCGACCTGTTAATTTTTTGGTTCCTTCTACTTCATGAATCTGAGAAAAGCTACATTTTGAAGGTTTGGATTGAATTCAATTTCACCATAGGTTATTGAAAACTATTTATTATTAAATTTAAATTAGGTTAAGTAGGAAGTCGAATGATGACTAGCACCAAAATACTGGATAGTAGAGAAGAACGGAAAGGATGACTTTTCATGAGATAACAGTGAACCATATTAATTGGAATCTTCGTGGAAGGGAATTGAGTCCGCTGATATCTTTCTTTATATAGTGCATATCTAATATACAATAATTTGTTACCAAATATTTGTGCATTGTATTGACATCTTTCAAAAACAAGTGGCAACTACGGTTATCAGTCTTTTTAAAAATTTGAATAACAGGCCCTTCTAATTTTAATTTTCAAGTAATAAATTTAATGCAAATTTTCTTACCATTAGCATTAAATTTAATCAAATAATCTATTAAACATGTTATGAAAAGACGCATTAAAAACTACCATAAAACTGTCATTCTAAAAATCTTTATAAATGCACCTCAAACTGTACTTCATGACCGCTTCCAGAATATAATTGTGTAGGACGTGGAAATTTTCGAGAAAGAAAATACTGTATGAAAACAATTTAGGAGTTCCCAATAAAATAAAACTGGATCTTCTGATACCGTTTAAACGGTATTAGGGATGAGGAAAGTAAAAGCACATTCATTCAAGGTCAGTCGGGAATTGACCGTTGTAATTTTTGCATACCTTAGTAGCAGGGTGTTCCTGTGCATACCTTAGCATACTTAGATGCATACCTTAGCAGCAGGGTGTTCCTGTGCAAATAGAAACGTTCCAATTCCCTTCGATAAACTTACTCAATGAATATTAACAACATTCACAGATATATTTGCAACTTATATTTTGAAAAATTCTGGAAATTAGAAAAAAAAAACGCTGCTCAGTTAATGAACAGAATTGATCGTCAAAGAACTTCCAGGATTCACTTGAATCGTCAAATAGCCATCAACTAGTTGCAAAGTTATCAAAAAAAGAAAATGTTCTCATGGAAAACCCATTGAACTGCTTAGGCAAAAACTGGAATAACCTTATCAATTTTGATGAGCAATCTAACAGGCATTCTCAACGAATTCATAAAATTGTAACTTTTTAAGGCACAGCAATTATGAATCATTGTTGCTGCATGCATTTCATGACCAGTTTTTCAATATAAATAGAAAGTGTGGAAAAGAAAACCTGTGAAAAAAAAAGAAAAAACCAAAAAGAAAAAGTTTCTAATTCATAAAAGTTTTCGTTGGAATTCTTAATAAAAATTGAAAGGCATCCCTTGAGGCTCAAAATTCAAAAAAAATTTTACCCATTTCTCTTTCTCTTCGACAGCTCGTATTTCGACATCGAATTTTTTCTTCCAAGCTGTAAACACTTCCGGTGTCACTCGAGTGCCTGTAAATTGGGTCGAACTTTGAGCAAATTTTATAAGACACCACTAAAATCACAAATTTCGCTGCTCGTAAAATGAATCGCATTTACGATCACTTCTGTAATTTCTAAGATATTAAGATTAAGATTCTATTACCTCAGTATCAGTAAATCATTTTTTTCTCTCACAAAGTAATCACTAAAAAACAACAAAGAAATCAAAGGAAATGAAAATGAACAGAACAGTCGGAGAAAATGAATAATAAGTCAGGAAGGAAGAGAAGGCGTAAGACATGACACAAGAACCATTGTAGTTGAATCTGATCCAAATCAACCCAGGTTGTAGCAGAAATAGTAATTGAAGTACTGGTATTAGTAGAGAACAGTGGAAAGAATTAGAGAATGTAGGAATGAGAAGAGGGACCGGGGAAGCATGGTATTCAATGCAATTGTCCTTGTCATTCGTGTCACTTACTGCAGTGGTTGTAGGAGGCGCAGCGAAAAATAGCAATAACTGCAGCAGCAATGATTCTCGTTTCCGAACTGTACGAAATCATTTACTGCCTTCATACCCTACAGAATCTTAAAAGCATTGCACGCTGCAAACATTTAATGCTCCTATAATCAGTGAAACATAAAAGGTAGCCAATACAATCAACAAATGAACAACAATTCACTACTCTCATTAACTGTAAAGAAACACTAACAATCGACTGTATAAAATCATATCTATTACATCTGTCTCTGAAAACAGGAAATCGAAGCACAGTCTTGGTTTTTTTGAAAAGTATTCTTTTAATAACAAGCTTTTTGGAAGTTCACTCATTGAAATAGCATGCATGGAAATAATAATCACAAGATTACTTTGAAGAATCCCGAAATCTTAAGAAGTATGAAAGTTCTAGAACTTCGGATTTTTTCAAAATTCCTTCATACTTTAGAATAACAAAGTAATGTCCTATTTTGAAGAGTATACAAGAGTCATAAATTTGACTGATTTCACCAGAATGAAGAATGACCAACGGATTCACCTGAACTGCATATATGACGCAACAAAATATATTTTAAAAGCCTATTTAAACTGAATAAAACGCCTTTAAAATGTAACAAGAGTAACATTAATCTTTCGACACTTCCCCTAATCCGGACAATGTATTAAATAAATCAGCTTTAATCCTTGTAATTTTAGCGTGGTAAAATCTAAACAATTAAAATTAACATCTTTTCATAATTTCTTACATCTATGTTGTGACAATATTAAAATGTAAACAAAACCTTCGAGTTTCTTTCTTTCCTGCGCTTCTCTTTCTTTTACCACTTTTTCCTCTGCTTTTATTTTTTCAGCTTCTAGATCTTCTACTAAATATCCAATCTCGTCCTATAAAATAAGAATAAAATGCCTTTATTTTCATATGAATTGTTCCTCTGCGCGATTTAGGGGATAATAAACATAAAAGAAACATTTGACGACTGATACACAAGGTATCGGTCGCTCAAACTTTCACTTTTTTTTTTTTTTTTTTTTTCTTCTCTGCAACTAGATCTTAGATATTGTAAAAAGTAATCCAAAACATTGAAAAATAACGAAACCTGCAAAGCTGATACGATGGTGAATATCATTGGCATACCGATATTCTCCTGCGCTACATTATGCAGTACCCTTTCTACTCTTTTAATACGTTCACTACTGAACGTGCTCTTCAGCCCAAAGAGTTGAATTTCTGGAGTAACATCTGGGTAATCAGCTGATAACCGAAGGTTCAATGTCACTTCAAACATAGCAGGAACTTCTTTTCCCTTAGAAGAAAAAACTGCTTAAAAAGCAGTGGAAACCACATATGAAAACTTGGGTTTCAAGTTCCTCATTCTAACGAATTAACAAAATACGAAACATCATAAAATTCTGAAAACCTAGGTAGGATCGTAATAAGTATGGCGATTAAGAATTCATAAATTTCACCACAACATTAATTTGACTAATTTAGAAAATTCAATCAGAAATTAATGAATCATTTTGTGGCGAAGGGATGATATGCAGAATCTATTGAAATAATCCATATAAACGCGTGCAAAATAATTGTGATTTTATGCAAAATGTTACCTGATGAGATTGCAATGATATCTTCAGAGCAATATTCGGATACTCGTTGGACGTAACTTCTAATTCGTCCGGATAGATCACTCCAAGCGCTTCAAGCTCTTCAACCTGCGTTATTTTTTGACACATATCTTAAAAATGTTAAAATATTAAAACAACCACTTTCCAGTCCTAATGCGTTGCATTAGCTTTGCTTAATCCATCGGAAATTTCTGGCATATTTTCCTAAAATAATTTTAAAACGTTTGCTTTAAATTCTATTTCAAAGAAACCTATATCTGTCTCTCTGACTAAATTTTGTTTTACAAAAAGTGTAAAAATGATAACTGGGACATGAAAGTGGAACCATCATGATTCTACATACACTTTTAAGGTGGGAACTATAAAACAGTAGTTATTACAATATAAACTGGACAACAACAAAGGTGTAAATTGGTGGGAGCCCAGAAAGAAATATTGATAAGAGCGAACATTTGCAGTGCTCCAGTTATGAGTCAATGCTTCCAATAACAATTTAATCGGCTGACTTTGAACTAGGGTCTAACCCTTCCCAACCTTTTATTCATTATCAATTGCAACACCTGCAAATGATTCTCATGCATTTTCGCATCGCAAATTTTCCATGATTACGTGAGTTAATCGATTTCGTGTTTGAACATCCGTGAGTCTTTACCTTTTCTATTTTAGACAAGTAAACTTTTTAATTCGAACTGACAAATCGAAGATTCCATAACGAAAGATTTCTGGCAAATTTTATTTCAAGAGCATTTTTAAAAAAATACATGAATCTAGTAGGAATTATAATCAAATATTAATGTTGTATACAAATAACAACCACACCGGAAGAATGAATACGGAAATACAGTAAATATAGAATAATTAAATTCTGCGACAAATTAATGAGGTTTTTATTAGAGTTTAATTCAAATACAAACGAAAGACTAAATCTAAACATCCTGGAAGTGATGAGGTAGTCCACGATATTCCAATAATTAACCAAAATTTAAATCGAAAGAAGAAGTTTCGAATGCGATTTCAGTTTTGTTTAGGAATAAATTCTGCGCAGGTCCTATCATACATTACAATTTCTCCGAACATACAGAAAGGATATTTTAAAAAAAGAACATAAAAATAGAGTATATTCAAACTATCAAAATAAAATACATTTTGCTTAATACTATAAGACACCAAATTTTCAACATCGATGGTCCTATAACTCCTAAAATCAGTTTTTTACTTGATCAAATATTTGCAGTCTTGAGAGTATACTTGAAAACAGAGATATGAATTTCAACTGCTTTCTTAAGATCTTCCACAAGAATATGTTCATCTTTGGAATGAGCATTTGTTATCGAGCCTGCTCCAAATAAGTATGCTGCTTTCAATTTATCACGAGCTATGAAGTAAGGTAAATCGGTATTGAATGCGACCACTTCCGAATCGTAAGGCGGTGGTGGAGCTATAAAAAATTAACCTTAACTAAATGAAGTAAAAATAAAGTCAGTGATGTATAACTTCAATTAAATTTTATTTTAAAGTTGTTAGATTGAAGAGACAGTTAACATATTTCAATATTGCGGGAAAACAGAAAATTACATAATAAATTTAAGAGATCCAATATACACAACCTTGAATATGATGAAAAACTGTATACCTGTGAGAAATATTGGTTCATTTTTACCAAACGATTGGTCAATTTTGGCGCGTCCATCAACAATAGTTTCCAACTGTTCCAAAATATCAGCAGTAGATGTGGTTACACGGAAAAAAATAGCTGCTGAGGCATGTTCCGCTAACGCATTTAACGCTTCACCTCCTGATATAAGGCCAATATTGACGGTTGTTGATCCTGGAAATGTATAATTATTTGAAAAATGTCAATGATTTGACATAAAATTCATTTGTAACATGCTAATTATCTGAAGTAAAGTTAACTGATTATCCCCACATAAATTATGGTGTCAATTTCTTGTAAACTTTTCGAAAATATATGTGAGAAGAACCGAGTATAGTTTCTTTACAACTGCTTTGACTATATTATATCCTACTTTTCTGTAAAAAAAAGTAACCAGAACTTAAAACGCAGCAACAAACGTTCAATTTTATTCAAACCATAAGAACACAATAAGTGATGCAGACCAAATGTTTTGTCTGATGGCCACTCATGAGTTCGGATATCATGTAGAATATCCAGTAGCTTATCGATAGCACTGTCACCCAAATGAGGATAACCAGAATGTGCCGCTTTGCCCTGAACTTTTAATACTACCTGAAAAAGGCAAGACACTTCAAAAACAGAAAGATGGAAATAAGTTTCTTGGCAAAACATAAAGGATGGATGAGGGTTAATTTTTTCCCTTGCGCCTGGAGTCAGCCCTAGAAATTTCCACACAAATTTCGTCCAACCCAATTATTATAGCTGGCTCAACAACGCGTTACTTTCCAAGTGTATCCCTGCATGCTTGGAAACCTATGCAGTGGTTATAATTCACTGAACCTATAACAATCTCTCATTTGCATTCTATGAAGTAGCTTAATGAGCAATTAATATATTACCGTCTAAAAAAGTGTAATTTTAGACTTGGGTGCCAAACCAGCAGAAACTTACTGGCGCCACGGATCACTTTCCTGAAATTTCGGCATCTTACGGATGTCAAATGACCTGTTTCTTAACTTAAAATCTACCGTCAATAAGTTTGTCACTTCGGATGCTACGTCTAAAGTTTGTATTATAAAGCCCCGTTCAAACACTGAAAGCCTACATCTAAAGTCTGCATCACAAAGTCCGTTGGAATACTGGAAATCAGTAACCCCATTTTCCCAGAATTTAACCTACATCACAATGTGACTTACTTTCACTGCTCCTTTCTGTAAACGACCAAATTTCAATTCCGTTGGTTCACCGATCATAAAAAATTCCGGAACCAGTCCTAGATTATTTGCTTCCTGAAAAACGACATAAACAATAAACAAACGGCAATGAATAATTTAGCAAAGTTCTCATACATTTCAAACTTCTTTTCATTCTCTCATCAAAGGATGATGATGAATAAGCAATATTTCCAAACTTATTAGCAATAATAGGTAATTTATAATTTAATAGTCCATTATGCAGTAAAACATACCACCATGCCAATATGATCAAGTTCTTCACTTACAACCAACAACAGACCGATGTTTTCAGCAAGGTTGGGATCCTCTTTCGCTATTTTTTGGGCAGCAAATATCATTGCTGCCAGTTGTCCTGCAAATATTGAATGGAATTTCAAATTCAAGAGTTCCAGCCAAAATCAGTAAGTCGAGACCGTAAATGATTCTCAGATACCGAAATATTAAGGTAGATACCCTATTTCTCTCTTAGAATCTATTCCATTTATCTGTTTTTAGTTGCACTTGACTTCTGAAACACTAAGTTCTCGAAAGATAATGAAGAAAAGGAAGTGAAGAAAATAGAAAAGAGGAAAGGAAGAGATGGCTGAGAGTAATATTATAAGTTTAAAACATATCCCAACCTTTCGCATCATTTGCTCCTCTCCCTGTAATTTTAGTGCCATCGTATGCTGGTGCAATATACGGTGGAACTGTATCCATATGAGTATTCAGCACATACCGAGGCCCTTAAAATGCTGCATGAATGACTTTGCTGAAGCAAAAGAAATACTTAATTTAGGTTACGCATTTTTATCAGTTTATGAAAATTACATTTTATTATCCTTTTATTTCTTTCAAAAATAAAAGTTACGCTTTAATTGAATTCTCTTTTGCTTTCAAAATTTAGCATCTTTGATAACTGACCTGGAGCTATGTATGGAGTCTTAGTAACCAAAAGATTATGTCTTTTTGGGTCACTTTTCAACGGTTGCTGCAAGACATGCCATCCTGTTGCCTTGAAATACACTGTTAAAGCAGCCGATAGGTCTTCTAAAATATTTTGTAACAGAATTACCCGAAGAAGAGGGCCACAGGAACTCTTCAGTTTACTTCGTTTCATAACAAATTTATCAAAAACTGCTACAAAATTAGCAACCTTAATACAACATGTATGTACGAAAATATTATCATACCTTCATTCCCAGTGCAGGAATTGATTTTCATCAGTTCCGTTAAAAAAATTTCAACGCGTTCTTCGTTGGGATTTAATAATGGTAACGTAGGCATGCCAATTAATCAGTTCTGAAATTAACGAAAAACCAAGTTTAAATTAATTATTAATTACAAGATACGCACCTACAACCTAAAACTTAACTATGAAGGAAAATTTCACTGCAAACAGATCTGAAACAAGAAAATTTCTTTATTTTGATCAATGTTGTTTAAAACCAATGCGAAAACACTTGTCACTGATTTTATCAGTTTCTACAGTCTTCATTCTTTCAACTCTAGTAAAACCACACAACGTTCCTTCATTCCCTAATTTTTACAATCCTCCTACGAACATAACTCTCGCAAAAACTACTCCACTCAACACCGTCTTACTAGTGTCTTTCTCAGCACGCTGACGTTCCACTAGGATGACAATTAAACTTCCATCTTTCGATGACGTGAAACGATGGGAATCAGAAGAAGGAACGATATGAAATGTGACATCTTAAATGAACACCTCGTGATGGTGGTAGTGGCACACACAGAAGGGTTGGAAATTACTGCCATTATGGAAAGACAAGAATGATGGGATTTGTGTGAAGAAAAAAGTGCTTTTGTGTTACAGAGATGATCAATGAGTGAATCGATTGCACACCAAAGCATGCACTGCACTGCACTGCAATGCAATGCAATGCAGTACAGTGCAGTGCAGTGCAAGCATGACACGCTACTAACAGAAAGCAAGAAATAGTGTGGAAATCATGCGAAGCACCCCTGATCAGTCCCCACTTTATATCCATTTGCCGTCACTTGGTGGAATGACATGGGATTTATCTTTAATTGAGTGATTTCTTTCTAGAAATGTTTTGAACGTCTCTCGGACTATAAAATTGTGTTTCGCAGTCGAGCCTAGATAATTGACTCGTTAGAAAGCTTCTCTTCATCCTTGCTCCCTCAAAAGTTCAACAAAAAAATGATGATTCCTTTTAAACAATGGTCATAAATTGATTGCTAATTTTAAACAAGTATGTCTATCATTTGTACTCCAAATCTGATTTGTCATTTCATTTAAATTGTTTGATTCATTGGTACCTTTTATAAAATACAAAGATTTGCAACAATCTGTAACAATCTTGCTTAATCCCGTGTATAATCCATTGTTGTAAAAGTAACAAGTCACCCACTTCACCACTGATTTCTCAAGCATTCATTTCAAAGTTTATTTTGAAGCAGAACAAATGGCGGCTATATGAATACCTTACATGAAAGGATGACTGTAATTATCGATCGGATTATAATTTAGAACTTGCTTCCTGTGGTTACCAGGTATTGCAATAAATTTAGGAGAGGAGAAGATGGAAGACACATATTGTTCATGAAGGGGGAAATTCTAAGCAGATACCTATCTTTTCCCATGATGAATGGTACTTTTGGTTCTTACTTTTACTCCTCATTCCCTTACCCAACCTCTCACCATTCAATGCAGTTTGTTTACGGTGTCGCTAGCAATTACCTTTTATCTCTGCATACCTCTTCCCATTCGGGTGAACAATTCGTTGCTTGCATTCCTCATTGTATATATAATTGGCTTTCAGTTTTAGTTTTCTAATTGGTTCGTTCCTTGACAAAATTCCTTTGTGTATCTCATTTTATTCATTTCAAGTGTCACGACCAAGCGTCAATCAAATCTGCAAATGTCCCTTCGCATTTATTGAAAAACATAAAGCAGAAATATGTGCCGAAGCAGGAACTGTCCCCTTTCCGTTTTCAGCAATTTGAGTATGGTCAGTTTCTCCAAGAGAACTTAATGATGGCATTCTCACTGAAAAGCAATCATAACAGATTAGATTTATTCCATCCCTTAATTAAATTTATGAAAATCCGGTTAAACTTGTTACCACCAAATATTGTAATGGTATTCGTTACATTGCTAATAGAATCATTGCATCAAGGATGAGATTGGCAGTGAGTATTTGTATAATCAGTAGTCTCGAGTATGTCACATTTTCTGTTTAGAGTTTTAACCGAAGTGCGTTAATACTTCGGTTATTGCTTTCTGGAAGATCGTTGTGAGGATGATTTATTGGTGAGTATTACTGTTATCTTATTGATGCTGCACTGTGATGGAAATTATTTTTGTTAACTACCATGATTTTAAATTTTACAGTCACCAAACACGAGCACTTTAAAAAATATTTCTATTTTGATATTTGCCTAGAATTTACCTATGTCGTCTTTTCGTAAAGAAAAGTTTTGCTCAGTCAGGTAGTCTCACTTGGAAATGTCTTGCGACTATCCTTAATGACCTTATGGTACGACATAATTCTTGGAAGATGGAGAAAATGTTATGTGTTGAATAAAACGAGTTTTTCCTACAAAATTTGGTTTATCTACCAGAAATTCATCTCTTTTGTGATTTAACGTTTGAATGGTTGATATTACTGTTTAGTTTTAATCTTTAAAATCATCATGCATCATCATATCGTGCAGTTCCTCATTATCATTCTCCTCTATGTCTTGTCTATTTTCTGTCACTGTTTAACATTTTTAAAGCTTTAAATGGTCGTTGCTTAGAATTACAGAAATGGAAGGTGAACGATGTAAGGAAAGCAATCTGAATAAGCGTAGAATTAAAGGAGGTGAAAGTGCACCTAAACGAAAGAAATGTGAGGTGACGCAACCAGGTAGCAGCGTTGTACTTGCTGCTAAGCAGCAAATTAACCATGTATGTACTAAAATGTGGAAAATATAATTTCTGCAATATTTTTTCATTTTGTTCAGGTAAACAGCAAAGTAAGTATCAGATGATGCGGAACTGAGAAATCTTTGATTATGAAACAAATTCAATGCTTTGTTTGTTTCAGAACGTCGATCAAGACAAAAATATTAAACGAGTGCAAGGAGTTCCAGATGGTAAAGGCAGTGTCACTAACTTTGAAATTCAACGGATTTCGAGACATTTTCCAACACTTTCATATTCTCTGCATACTGCTCGTGTTGCCATTGTTTCAAACTCTTCTACAATGATTTCGAGCGCTTCAAATGTTGTGAAACGAACTTCAAATAAGGAGACACGGATTCCTTTTGGAAGGATCCAAGATATTTCAGGCAATCAAGAACCGAACCGTTGCATCAGAGACTTATCCGGAGATAAAGTAGCAGTAGGTGAACTGAATGGGCGGATCTCTGCTGCAGTTCCAGCAGTTCCAGGCTACCGAGAGAGATTAAATGAAAACAGCAAGAGATCAAATGGATTCCGAACTCCTTTACAGTCACCGACATTGTATGTAAAGCATTGTAATGATCTTCTGATGGCACCAAAGAAGCGTCGCTGTACTCGCAGCTATAGGATGACAAAAGTTCCAGTGTCGTGTACGTTAAGATCATCACGTTAAAAGATGAACCTTGGAGAGAAGAAAAGACCAGTCAAATTGAAATAAAAAATGTTTCATATACGAAGTACTTTTACATTTGTTCAAAAATCGCTCATTCTGTTTCTTATTTTCCTTACATTTTAAAATCATTCACGAATCATTTTAACTATGTTTCAGGATTATTTCGGGTTGTAATCAATTTTTATTTGTATAGAAAATGAAAGAGAATTTTCTAAATGAAAATGAATTATTATTTTTAGCAATTGTTAGACATAGAATTTGCTACGAGAATAATACATCAGAACGATGAAAAATTACTCATACTGTAATACAGCGTATAAATGTTAAAATATTAATCTGTTGGTACTTTATGCATTCTCTTCTCATCTTAAAATTCTTTGAATTTCTTAACTTTTCTATGAGAATCAACCATTAATTGGATTTAGCTGCTTTCAGCATAATAATAATAGCAGCTATCTCTCCGTTTTCGGTTTATTTATTGATAATTCTTATTAATCGAGAAACGATTTACGCCTCAAGATTGCTTGAAACTGTTGGAATTTGATGCTTCTACTCTGACGATGCATAAAACGATGTCTCTTCCACATTCTGTTGTAGAAAATCGAATGATTCTGTCTTTTTTTTTCATCTCAAGAAGATTTTATCAATTTTACACTTTCATAGAAAAAATCATGTGTTTTCGAGTCATTAGAGCTCTTTATAATTTTAGCCACAAAAGTTTTTGAAATTACATGAAATGCAATGACATCGAAAAAAATAAAAAACAATTAGGGAAGTGCTAACAAATATTACTTAGTCGAAATCCAATAGGATAAATAAATGTTACTAGATCAGAATCTACTAGGATAGAAAGAACTAAGATTTTCAAGCTGTCATGTGTGCCGGCAGACTCGTTTGACATATATGATTGTAAAATGGAATGGAAACGAATCCGGCAGTAACAATTCCAATCGCGTCACCCAACGAGCTGATAGACATTGAAAATTCCCGAACATCTGGTTTGGCCTAAAAAATTCTTTTACAATTTATTAAGACTTCGATAATTGCTTTTCAAGAAATGTCAGTTTGTCAATTATGATTTTTAATTGTCAATTCGTTTCACGTTTCCTGATACAAGACATAAATTTAAGAACTTAACTGATAATGAAGTGTGATTTTTCCTCTTGTATATATGATTAAAAATTTTTTGAAACAAATCATAATGCAACATTTTCGCTATTTTGTTAGATCAGTTTTTCCAATCGATAAACTCAAAAGAGTTCGATTGTTAACGAATGGTCGTTTCATTCACTGGCATAAAATCAACTACATAGGAATAAATTGTTCTGAACTTACAAAATTGTGTATATGAGTAAATGTGTTAACATAAGATGAACCGCCAAATAATCCCTCGAATAATATTAACAAAAATAGAACCCAAATATGCGGAATGTAAAAGTAAAGCGATTCTAAGAAGAAAATCACCACATTCGCGAACTATAAAAGAGAAAATTAATATTAAGGTAAGGTTTTGAGATTGAATGTTTGTTGATATAAACTCGTCGGATTGCAAAGATGAAAGGCAATACGAATAAATAACGTGAATGGGACATGAAAATAATGAGATGAGATGATTATATTGGAATTATAAGTAATTGCATTAGAGTGGCTGTTTATTAGATTTATATTTTATAGCAAATT